CCAGCCAGCAGCGACTTCGCGAGGATTGTGCGAATGAGGACCAGCGGGGTGACTGATGGGCCGCGGCGGGCAGGCTGCGGCGAATCGCATGCGCGGTGGTGGTGGCGGTTTCAGCGGTGTCCTGGTGTGGAGAAGGGCCGCAGGCTCTCGTCTCCAGCCGGACTCGGGGAGGCGCTGTTGCAGCGGGCCCGCGTTGATTATTTTTCGGAACAGCAGAGCCTGCAGTTGACGGCTGGGGGGCCGCACCTCCGTCTCAGGTCGTAGTGGGGATACCGAGCGCTCGCTCCAGGAAGGAGACATGGGTGGCGGCGGAAGGCAGCGGCGGGGGGCTGCTCATGCTGCCCCGCGGGCGGGCTTCCATGTCCGTGGGCTCACCCAGCCGTCCAGGCTGCTGGGGGGCCGGGACGCGCCTGGCGTCCAGGGCGGGGAGGTGGGCCGGCTCTCGCGGCGGTCCTGTAGAGAGAGCAGAGAGGGTGGGGGCAAGCGTTAGTGTTGGGGTGCTCCACGCCGGGGTTTTGGAAGGGGCCGAGTTTGATTTGTCCGTTGTACAGTCAGGAAAGCCAGCGACTAAAGTCAGGTAGTGCCTGCAATAAAACGTAGATGCCCCCGTGCTCAGCCCAGATGCTTGAAAAAGCCCACGCCGGCCCTAGCTGGTTTGGCGCAGTGGATAGAGCGCCAGCCTGCGGACTGAAGGGTCCCAGGTCCGAATCAGGTCAAGAGCACATGCCTGGGTTGCTGGCTCGATCCCCAGTGGGGGGCGTGCAGGAGGCAGCCAATCAATCATTATCCTTGATGTTTCTTTTCTCTTTCTCTCTCCCTCTCCTTTCTTCTCTGAAATCAATAAAAATATATTTATTTAAAAGAAAAAGCCCACATGCCTGCCCCTGCACTTAACAGGGAGGCAGGTGACTACTGGTCACGAACTCTCACTTTGGAGACAGACCCCTGTACTTACTGAATGAACTTGGGCAAGTTGCTTCAGCAGCAGAAGCAACTGGAAACCTCTGGACTTCAGTTTCCTCCTCTGTAAAATGGGGGTCTCATGTCAGCACGTACCCCATCGGGCTGTTGTGAGAATTGAATGAGATAACTAATGTAAAGAGTGTTACATGTATTAGATGATTTCCTGGGAGAAAGAAAGTGCTCACTAGATGTCATTCATCATAAAGAAATACTGGAAGGATTCACGTGAAACTAACCAAAGTGGTTCGCTAGGAAATGGGGTGAGTGGGGCAAAGCACACAGGCACAGGGGTGGGAATAAGGCATTCTGTATTACTTTTTATGTAAGTTTAGATTTTTGAACCAAATGGATGTATTATCTATTCTAAAATTAAACATTTTTATCATTATTATTAAGGTTGGGCTTAGGCAAAGACTCTCTCAGCCCCAACTCCACTGCCCTGTTGCCATGGTCGCCTTCTAATTTTTCCTTGAATGTCTTGAGCAGGAAGGAAGTTCCCACTGACAGATGGAAACGCAAAAG